GGTACTTTTCATTCATTTATTTTTATAATTAATTACTTTATTTGTTCTAATTAGTTCATTCATTTTTATTTTTCATCTGTTAATTATAGGAAGATATGCATAATAAATTTACCATTTTAACCACTTAAAATATATAGTTCCAAGGTATCAACTACATTCATGTTGTACAACCATCAGCAAGATCCATCTTCTCCAACTGAAACTCCATGCCACTCAACAGGGGCCCCCATTTCCCCTCCTGCCAGTCCCTGCAACCACCATTCTTTGTGTCTTCGTTGATTTTACTTATCTAGGAACCTTGTTAACTGGAATCATGTATTTTTACTTTTGTTTCCTTATGTCACTTGGCCCAATGTCTTTAAGTTTTATTTATTTTGAGGGAGGGTACCAGGGTTTGAACTCAGGGGCACACAACCACTGAGCCACATCCCCAGCCCTATTTTGTATTTTATTTAGAGACAGAGTCTCACTGAGTTGCTTAGTGCCTCACCATTGCTGAAGCTGGCTTTGAACTCGCAATCCTCCTGCCTCAGCCTCCCAAGCTGCTGGATTACAGGAAGTTTTATTTTTATTATAATATGTCAGATCATTCTTCCTTTTGAAGGCTACTAAAATTCCACTGTACATATGTACTACATTTGGTTTATTCATTCATCTGTTGGTAGACACTTAGGTTGCTTCCACCTTTCAGCTGTTGTGAATAATGCTGCCATGAAAATGATGTTACAAGTATCTCTTCCACATCCTGCCTTGAGTTCTCTGGGGTGATATGATAATTTTATTATTTATTTTTGAGAAATGCCCATACTGTTTTCCATAGTGTCCAATTTTTTCACATCCTTGCCATTTTGTTATTCTCTAGCTTTGTGTGTTTTTTTTTGTAGTGTTTGTTTGTTTGTTTGACAATAGCCATCTTTTGGCATATAGTGATTTTGATTTGCATTTATTTCCCTAATCTTTTCGTGTGCTTTTTGGACATCTGTTATGTCATCTGTAAAGAAATGTCTAGTCAAGTTCTTTACACATTTATAATCAGGTTCTTAGTCTTGTTGTTTATGAATTATAGTTTTTTTTTTGGGGGGGGCACCAGGGATTGAACTCAGGGGCACTCAACCCCTGAGCCACATCCCCAGTCATATTTTGTATTTTATTTAGAGACAGGGTCTCACTGAGTTGCTTAGCCCCTCATTTTTGCTGATGCTGGCTTTGAACTCATGATCCTCCTGTCTGAGCCTCCCATGTTGCTGGGATTACAGGCATGAGCCATGGCACCTGATTAGGGTGTGTGTGTGTGTGTGTGTATTTTTTTCATATTAAGCTCATAATAGTTATATGATATCAAAAAATTTTCTTCCATTCCATGTCTTTTCACCTGTTACTAATATTCTCCAATGCACAACAGTTCTTGGTTTTGATATAGTTAGATTTACCTTTTTCTTATGTCATGTTTGGTATGGTATCCAAGAAATCATTGCCAAATCTAATATCATGAAGGTTTCCCTATATGTGTTGGTAAGAGTTATATAGATTAGCTCTTACATTTAGGTCTTTGATCCACTTTGAGTTAATTTTTGTGTATGATGTATGTGGACAACCAGCTTTTTTAGCACCATTTGTTAAAAAGACTAAAAGACTGTCCTTTCCCCTTTGAATGGTCTTGGTGCCTGTGTTGAAAATCACTGTACTGTTTATAAAAGGGTTTATTTCCATACTCTTTTTTTTAACTTCTTCAACAACTTCCTCCTCCTCCTCCTCCTCCTCCTCCTCCTCCTCCCTCTTCCTCTTCTTCTTCATTTTCTTGATGCTGGGGATTGAACTCAGAGCCAAATATATGCCAAGCCACTGCTCTATACTCTCTATATACTTGCTGTGTTTGTACCCTTCAAGTAGTTCTTGACTCGTTAGATTCTGCTGATGACCACTGAATTGTCTCCAGCTCCTTCAGACCAAAGGCTAAGATGTTCTACAATACTTGATTCACCTCATGGGGTCAGTTATTCACCCATGAGCTGCTTTGCAGGGCACATCAGTTCTTCCTTTATAAATCTTCATACTGTGTTTTGCCAGTTAACAGAATTCTGAAAGTGCTAGCAGGCTGAGGAAGGATGGAATGGAATGAACAAGCCATTGTATGGGAGAAACATGGAGTGTCTTTCAGTATAACATCTTGAGATTTGAAGAAGCTTTCTTGATCAAATGAAGTCACTTGAAAGCCGAAGGATCTGTGGGAATTAGTGTGGTGAAGAGTTGGAGGAAGATGTTTAAGGCATGGGAACAGTACATTATTGAGCTTTCCAAATATGCTTTGACACTATAAGAGCCACACAGAGTGAACACAGTGTGTTTCCTATGTGTTTTCCTCCTCAGCCTTCAAGTTCCTAAGGACAGGATTGTGTGACATTCACCTTTGTATCTTTAGGGACTAGCACTGAAGTGCCTGCTCATTTTAAGAGTTCAATCAGTGCTTATTTTTGTCAGAATAATGAACTCTAAACATGCATCTATGGTTTCTGGCACTTCTAAACCACACATCACTGTCAATTTAAACACTTTCTTTTGTGGAGTCTTTGATTTTGTTCTTGTACTTTGTAAGATAGGCCTTGTTAGAATTGAGAAATCCAAGGCTCATAGAAAGTAATTTGTCTAAGTTCACATAACTACCGAGTGGAGAAGTCGGTATTTGAACCCAGGCTGATGGCATAAGAAGTGGCATTCTTGTAGCTATTTCATGCTGCTTCATTTTGTGTGTGCCACAGTAACTCAGAATTGTGAACAGGACTTACCTTTCAGGGAGGGTCTAGATACGTGAGGGACTTGGCACATCTTACAACGATTGCTCCCCTTTTTTTGAGCACTTAGTATATAGCAGCCTATTCTAAGCACATTGGATGTCCCTTATCATTAAATTGTCACAACAACCCTGTGAGGTAGGTACTAGAATTATTATCATTTTGCAGATGAGAAAAACTGAGGTATGAAGAGCGAGAATCTGACTGAGGCAGTATGACTAGTGAGATGAGACATCAGCTGTGCTGGGCTGCTGTCCCTGGAGTCCTCTCAGGGACACTAGGAAGCAGTTATTATCTCTACTCTAAGGAAGAGTGAACTGGGTCAGATGGGTGATATTTACTGTCTTTGCTCTTGGTTTCTAATCATTTGTGTTATTTGGAATGATCTCTTCTGTCTCCTGTCAGTTTCTCCCCTGTCTCCAAATAATCAGAAAAGTCACTTACAATGAGGCAGAATTTCTAAGAAATTCTTTCTTCCAAGCAGAAGCTGAGCCATTTGCACCATTTCTCAGAGTGCTTCTCAGAGGTCTTAGTTGTTTGATGTCCTTCCTGCCCTGGGAGGGATTGATTAAGAGCCCTGCAAAGAGAGAAGCTTCAGGGCGTCAAATCTCTGAAGGGGTGCCTTGACCCCAGGCGCCCCTGTGGTTGGGTCAGAAATGGTGACTGTGATTTATAGAGCAATAAACAGCCTTCCCATACTTTCCCTTACTTGAGGGAGTGAGCAAGCCACTTTCTGAGCATGAAAACTACTTTTTGTCAAATACGTTTGCTTGTTATTGAGAAAGGTATTAGTATTGGGGGTGGGAGTTTGGATTATTGGGAGTGAGACCCAGTTATGACCTGAAGAAACTATACAACAAAGAGAGACTTGAACCCAATCCTCTTGAGCACAAACACCACTCAAGCTAGCTTAATACACAAGCTGTATTAGAAGGTTGTATCCAGTCAAAGTCTTTCTATTCTTGTGTGTTTTGTTCCCCTACAAAACACTTTTGCAGACGGTGAGTGCTGGCTTGTGTATTCCCTCAAGGAGAAAACTGACACATATGGGAAATCATTCTCTTCCCCTTCCGCCTCCCTCCCCACCCCTGCCCAGTGCTATCTCCAACTCCCCCATCCCAAACACACAAACTTCTTTGAGCTGCATGATGCAATGTAATTTTATTTTTTTCTGGACAGAGAAGCAACATTTGTTTCTTTCTCAACCAATTTTTGTTCCAAGACCTCACAAGGAGTGAGGAGAATAACTTCCTGAGTAAAGAAAGCATTTGAATGTCTGCATCGAAAGATACACAAATCCCAGAACTTAATGGGAGCAGGGCGGAGCCTAGAAGGAGTGAAAACAGAGGACAGTCATTTCTGCTGCAGGGGAATTGGGAACCAGACTGTCTGTTTGTCTGTTTTTCCTTCTTCTCTTCTTTTCCCCCTTCCTTCCTTACTCCTTTCCTTCCCTTTTCTTCTTTTTTTCTTCACCATTTATTATGTCTATAAAAAAATCCTATAGACTTTAAATTCAACTTCCTTCAACTTGAAAAAAAAAAAAACCCAAAGCATTTTTTTTTCCTTTTTTCTTTTAAAGAGCTAGGTCACTTATTATGAAACTTGGGGTATGGAGGATTCTTAGGAGATGTTATTCCAATAAATTCTAGCCTGACTTATTCGGCTGTTAATTTATCAATTCTATTAAGGCATATTTTCTTCCAGTTTCAACTCCAGCTAGTTTTTCCTTTATAAAATGCTCAGATTACACACAAGTGAGCACTAAAGTGGAGACGGCGGGAGGAGGGTAGATAAGGGTTAGGCGTCATATCCAGAGAATTCCTGCAGCCATGAACCTTAGGGGCAGACTATTAGCCGGCTTCCCAGGAAGGTTATACATCATGTCCAGGACTTTACATTAAAATGACTTTTTACTTGAGTCATTTGTTAGTCCATTACCAGTTCACATATCAGATTGCATTTCATCTTGTATTAAATCAAGGTAATCTGGCATGTAACAATAGGCTCCCTCATTTCACATCCAACTCTCAGCAAGAGTGGAGATTCCTGAGCATTCCACCACACAGGCACACAGGCCTCCATATGGTCTGCAAGATCCCAGTCTTGCCGAAAGCATCATCACCATTGACCGAGTCCCACATTCTCCCACAAAGACGTGTGATTGACAAATGAAGTCCAAATCCTGTACTGAATGCTGATTTTTCTCTTTAGGGTTCAACTCATTCTCCTCCAACTACACTCCTAAAAGGATCTGAAGCAAACTTTTCCTGTTGCTAATCCTGCAATCCTTACAGAGAGAAAAAGTGGAAGAGAGACCTCGAACAAATTACAAAGGAGGAAACCTGCATGAGAAAGCCACGTTTTTATACTTGGGGCCAACTGGATCTTCCTTATATGATGACCTAACTTCATTTCCAAGCTGTGTGTCCTTTTATGGGGGAGTAAAAGAGGGCTGGTTAATGCCTGAGACTTCACTGGTAGGAAAACTGAGCCTCCGTATAATTCATTCTATTTATTGCACGAAGGTACTGTTAGGTTTTTGTGCCACCCATGACTCGAATGGCTGCAGTGTTGGAGTGAGATCCTGCCCTCCACAGGCCAGGGCCACATATGTCACATTAATTATGTTCCTAATGCTCTTCCCTGGTACCCCTGTGTTTCCAAGTGCTTAGTGCTCCTATGAGTAAATGATTTCTTTCCACTACTGCTTAAAGTGCCAGAAGGCAAGAGAAATTTAAACAGACCTAAGATCAACATTGTGAGTTTACTTGGCCTCCCCATCCAGCAACACTGCCATAAATTTCTTCAACTTCTTAGTTGGGAATTTTAAAGGCCTATAGTGTTGGCAAGGTTTATATAACAATGTTTCTTCTATATGGATTATAAACTTGCAAAATCCCAAGCAGTCCTGGGTATCATATTTGGTCAGTAGGTCAACATGAGAAGACAACAGAAAAACTCAACACCATGTCCAGCCAAACACTTTTTGGTTTTGGCGCAGTGGGTAGAAACAGCTTGGTCAGCTCCATCTCTGACAGGGTCAGGAGCCTGGATCTTAAGGAGTGTTGTGGGCCTCCCCAACCCCTTTGGAGCTTTGCCATATTAGAAGTCTGTGGCCCTTTCAGAGCCAGGGACCCTAAGCCAGAGGGGCCTTGAGGAATCTCCTTTGGGTTATAATAAGCTCCAGTTTCATGAGGTTCTCAGAGTGCAGGAATGCTTGGAAAGCAGTGCTGGTCTGTGCTGAATTTGGCCCTGGGAGGCCTGGGGTTCATCAAGCAGGCAAGTGCATTTGATTCTATCAAATGAACTTTTGTGATAAGATGCTGCCTCTCCTTCCCTGCTCGACCACATTTCCTCTTCCCAACGACCTGCTCTGGAAGTTATATATCTTTTCCCAGGCCCGTTGTAGTTGGCATGGACCACTCTTATATAAGACTAGTGGGTGGATATCGTTTTGATCAGCTTTTTACCACTGTGACCAAAAGACCTGGCAAAAAATTTTAGAGGAGGAAGAGTTTATTTGGAGTTCACTATTTTCAGAGGTCTCAATACATAGAAGGCCGACTCCATTGCTCTGGGCCTTAAGAGAGGGTGGGCATCCTGGCAGAAAGGTGTGGAGGAAGAAAGCAACTCAAGACATGGCCACCATAAAGGGTGCAGAAAGAACTCTAATTACCAGAGGATAAAATTAGAAACCCCAAGTCATTCCTCCAGTGACCAACCTCCTCCAGTCACACCCTGCTTACAGTTATCACCCACTTAATCTAGTCAAGTGGATTAATGCTCTGATTAGGTTAAGACTCTTATAACCCAGTTGTTTCACCTCTGAGCTTTCTTGCATTGTCTCACATATGACCTTCTGGGGCACACCTCATGTCTACACCATAACAAATCTTTGAAGTGACTTAGCTTCAAGGGCAGCCCAAATGTCCCTCACTAAAGCCAAAGAGCATTTCATTAATAAGACCTGGTGTCTTCAAATGAAGTTCTTCTCTCGAGGCAAGTGTCAAGATTGTGTCTCCTCCGGTCACTCGGCAGAACAACAAGACTTAGCATTGGATATGACTCATTATGGGCAAAGAGCTATGCGTGAAGACCTGATGGCTAACAACTGGCCAGCAACCGATTGACTTCAGTATCTAAGTCTCAGAGTGATGTACAGAAACCCTTCTTATTTCCCTATGAAGCTACAAGGGATCTACTCAGACTTTGGAGAGGCATTTGGGTTTATTCTTAGTGAGAAAAATTGTGAAGATTGCTCTTCTGGCTCTAATTCACTGTCTAGGAGGGTAAAAAAGAATTTCAGTCAGCAAGCCTGACTAGCAAGAAGGAGAAAGAAGCATCTGAAGTTCTTGGGTTGATGAGAGGAAGGTCCTAACTTTTCACTTTATCAAGGCTTGCCTTGTTTCTAGAAGGAAATGAAAATATAAAGACATAAGAATGATACAGAAGACCAATTGAAAAATATTGGTTTATAGTACTTAGTCAAATAAGACATGTCAGGGGAGAAATGACAGACAATGAAATAATACACAGTCATGCAGGTGTTTCTGATTTGTTCTTTCTTTATTCAATCCCAGACAGTATTCAGTTAAATCAAAAGGTTTCCATTGAAAATTGATTCAAGAACATTACTCTTTAAATCTATGAATCATTAACCTATAACACTCATCACCCGAAGGCAATATTTAAGGTCCAAATGCAGAAGAAAAGAACAAATGATTGGGATGGCAGTTTATTTAGATCAAAAATTTTAAAATATTTTTTGGTAACAGTGGAACTTTTAAAACCTGAAATCTTAAACAAAATTCCAATACAAAGAACAGTTAAAAGTGGAAATGTTGCCAAGCTCAGTGGCACATGCACGCAATCCTAGTGACTCGGGAAGCTGGACTGAGGCAGAAGAATCACAAGTTCAGAGCTAGCCTTAGCAACTTAGTGAAACACTAAGCAACTTTGTGAGATCCTGTCTCTAAATAAACAAATAAATAAAAAGGGCTGAGGATATAGCTCAATAGTAAAGTGTTCCTGGGTTCAATCCCCAGTACAAAGAAGAAAAGTGGAAATGTGTTGATTGGAGAGATACCCACTGGCCTTCACATTGCCCATTGAAGCACCCATGCTCTGTAGAACAGAGTATGTAAATTTGTATTTTAGGTAATTATTTTAAAACTAGTCATTGGACCAGACATCCTCCACAAACTTATCACCGAGGAGCCACAGCTGATGGAACATTGGCATTTCTGGAGAAGAAGCATCTGGGCTTGGTTTTGCCATGAATAGTGACGTTAGGAGAGAATTAATGCTGCCAAAGGATGCAGTCATTTTCCACTTTCTTCCCTTGTAATATGGAAGCTATTGAATGTACCAAGATCATAGGTTATGATTAATGTGAAATGATCCATTCACTCGGGGTCCCTCCTATGCAGGGATACTGCTACAATCACTCTCTAATTCCTGAATTTGCTAATGTTTAGAGGGAACTACTCTGAAAGGTAACAGAAAAACAAATTTTATCACAATATCTCCTGTTGAAATGTCAATCATAATTTGATGTCATTGCACTTATGAAATTACTCTCAACAGAAATTTATTTGGGTCTCCAGAGACTGATTGAGAGCAAATGAGAGTATTTAAGATTATTTTCTGACTTTTTGCGTGCCCCTCTCTGAGGACTTTATGTCTATATTTTTAATTTGGGATATGACTAAAATAGATTTATTTTCAAATCAGATGCCTCTGGCCCACATCAGGCGTTGGTCATGTGTGTGACGCATTATTCGCCTTGCCTTCTGTTCCACATGTGAAGCCAAGGGCCTCTTAAAGCCAAGTTCCTATGGATTTTAAATACAGCGTTAGTCTTGGAGTTGGGTTAGTTGTAAGTGAAATAAACAGCTTAGCAAAGGAGGTACCAATATGATCTAAAGGGCTTTATTTCTAGTTGAATATTCACTTCCAAATCAATTTGAAATTAAATTTATTTAGGCCATCAATTGCCAAAAGTAGGTAATTTTGAATAAGAAGATGCTTCCTGAGAAATTAGCATGATCTTTCATATTTAAAATTCTGTTTACCTTAATGAAAAGTGGCTAGTAAGATCCCTTATGAAGTCCCATTTTATATGAAAATTTGATTGCGACGTCATATTTAAGGCAAGAAATGTGTTTAGTCAAATCATTCTTTGAAAACCCTTATGATACAGATAAATCCTTGTAACACATGGTAATATGTATGTATAAAAGTTAATTATGTAGTAAATACGAAGTATAATAAAGATTACACAAGCAAGAAACAATTTATAGTGTCTCTAATTACATGAAAAGATGGAGAGACGCCATCTGACTACATGTGGCTGTAAATTAAATGGATGTATGTGTGGCCTCTTGCAGGTGTGTGTGAGCCACACAGACACTGGGGCTAGTGTTGAATAATTCTTCTGTATTCATATACCTTTATTCCCAGAGTTTGTTTATCTGGCAAACCATCCTGGTTTTTATGGTCCCATTTCTTTACAGTATCTCAGAGCTTCTTGGCCTCTGATTGACCTTCCCTGACATGAAGAATAAGAGGGTCAACATTTTTTCTTGAGATTAGTTGTCAAGTACTTAATACATTCATCTGAAATGAAGAACAGGTGTTATAGAGAATTAGAAGTCAACCTTATGAAATAAAGATGAACACAATGTTTGGGCCAATTGGATAAGTTGGTAACAATTTCTGATGATTTCTTTCTCAACATTTTGGTGACTCTGGGATGGGGAGGAGTCATGCTTTCAACCATTACTGGGTTTAGATGTAGTTAAAATCATGGTGCTGAAAAATAAACTACCAACCATTCTTCTAATAGTTCAGTTAAGGCAAATTATTGAGATCTCAAGTGAGCTTTTATTTCTTGGAACTTGAGGAAAGATGATTTGAATGATCCAAATACGTGATGCTGCTTATTCTTGTTGCTTAGAATTTAAAAATGTTTCTGTTTCTCAGAAAGAAATAGCTAAAATACCTTATAATTGGACAGTATTTTGTAGCCTAAGCACATTTTCATGCTTTTTCTTATTTGATTTTCACCATGATTTTATGTGAGCCATTATGAGATACAGCTATGTTATCCCCATTTTACAGATAAAAAAAAAAACAGAGTCTCAGAAAGACCAAATGACTCACATAAGTTTACTCACTTACGCTAGTAAGTGGTAAGGCTGGGACTGGAAGCCTAGCTTTTGATGACTTTCCATTTATCAAGTAAGCCTTGAACTGATGAACTCACTAAGTCCAAGATGATTTTTCTCTTTGTTTTCTGCACTGTACACTGTTTATATTTGTTCATGCAATAAGAAGAGTATTTGTTTCATGCTGAACTGTGGAGAAGGTTCATTTCTAAAGCTACAAACTTGTAAGACTCATGGCTTCATACTTAGATTTAATTTCTCTCTACATCTAGCAGCCAAAACACATCCAGTCAATTCTTACATTTGATCAATAATTTTAAAGCTAGACTTTCTTGCTTTCTCTCTGTTGTGTGGGATTATGGGTTCAGGCTGGCTATCTTTAGTAAAACAAAGTATTTGGGATTGATTGAAAGGTGAATTATTAGGGAAATAAGAAGCACTTGGGCCTCTTTGTTTATATATATATATATATATATATATATATATATATAGATTCTTATGAGATGTGCCATATGTTTTGGGAACCATATCTCCTTCTGCAATAGCTACTTGTCCTGCCTTATGACCTCCTGAATGCTATCTTTTTTCTCTCTCTCTCTCTCTCTCTTATTTCCACTGACTGCTGCACCCTGCTTACCTTGCTTTTCAGAGGTGTGGTGACCAAAGGAATTTTGGGGGGACTGGTCACCTCTCAGAACCCATGATGGAAAACAGCCTCAATTATCTACATCCGATTACCCATCTCCCAACCTGGACAAAGTATCTACCCCCTTCTTAGAACTCCTCAAGAAATCTCTCAGTAATTTCTCTCCCTATCTGCCTTAAAGATCACTATCTTAGGTGAAGTGAGGGATGGAACACCAGGGAAAATGGGTTCAGACTGATCCCTATCATTTCTTCTGGAATATTCCAGGGTAAACAGCTTTTGAATTTAAAAACTCATAATGTGTCCCTTTGTTCTCCTATCCCCTCTGAAATTGGCCTCCAGTTGAGGCCATATTTCTAATGGTCCTGAGAGGAGACACTCCTAGGGTCATGAGGCTGAAAAAAATGCAAAAGAAAAAAATCCTCACATGACTAATATATCAAATTATTATCCCACCATGCTAAGAAGTATGCAGAGATTTGATACATGGCTATTAAATAGAAAACATAAATGATCACATAACTGTAGCTCCTTTCTCTTAAAGCCAAAGACAAATGGTCCATCAAAAGGTCTATAAAGTTACGGCTCAAACAGTCTTGCAAATCATATGTGCCCAAGGACCCATTAAAACATGCATCATTTTAAAGGGCAATGTAGAAATGGAACCCTCAGAAGTGAATCACATTTGGTGAAATCTCAGTATTACAAGTTGAAAACTGGGTTAACTCTACATATTCAAACTTCAATATTCAAAAATTGTTAGCTTGTCAAACATTCCGGTGCATTTTTAATGTTCTCTTTTGCAACACATGGAGTTGAAATGTATCCATAGATCACAAAATTTAAAAATGCAAAATGTCATCTTTGAGGCATACTGATGGATGCAAAATTGATTCAGATAAATGCAGTTTGTGGCTATCTTCCAACAGGTGCTTCCAAGCCAAAGATATCCATACAATAGATTTGCATTTTCAAAATCACTTCCATTTTTACTTGGAGCATTTCTCAAAATAGGTACGATCACTTCCAAACAGCTGCCTGACTATAATTTAAAATAGTCTTTCCATTAAGTTATAACAGTTTGACCAAGAGGGAACAGGATCTCATTGCTTTGCTGTCTTGATTTGGAAATCACTGTTTCAGTGCTGCCAAGGATCGTGCCATGAAGGGGAGGAAAAAAACACACACACACACACAGAACTTTTCCTGGAGTTTGGAGTCACATCATTTGGAAGAGGGAGATAGGTCTTGGGCCAAACTCTCTCCCATGACTACATATTTGGAACAGGAAGCTTCTCTGTGGCTGGAGAATTGATTGATTGCTTGATATTTATTGAGTGCCCATAGCGAGATAAGTTCTCAATACACATGAATACATCAATAGTTTTCTTTCTCAACCAGAAACGTAATGCCTCAAGATGCCGCCGTTAGTACATTCCCAAACAATTTTACCTCAAGTCAGTCCTATATCCTTTCAGGATGAGTATAAACAAATTAAGCAAATTCGGTTTTATCACAAGTTCTTTGTCCCACAGACAAGTATTTCCCAGTATTGAGTGCAGCCTCTGACTCAATGAGAATTACCCTGTATCATTAGTAAAATCTGTAAGAGCCAAACCCTCTTTGACCTCCACAGCAACCATTGGTAGATTCCAGAGCAAAGGTCATCTGGAACTGGGAGGAATCCTGTAATTTCTATCACGGGCAGGAATAAAGGCCCCAATCTTGGCAAACCTAATGGATGGTCTATGCTTCCAAATGACTGCCCAAGAGGATTGCTATCCTCTGGGCTAGATGATTTCATTAATTGGTGTCTAACTCATAAGTCTGAGTTATTTATTGTAAAACCAAATAGGGACCATATGACTTTGAAGATCTGATCAGACCAGGCTGTGTGGGCCAGATACTGAGCAGATCAAGCCTCCCAGCATTAATCTGTCACAGTCCATTTTTCACTTGCTAAATCAGCTTTATGCAAATCTTCCCATAGCAGGGCTCACCTATTCAAGAACTCTTCTACCTCACCTCCAACATCTGTGTATGTTTTTGAGATATGGGCACATAAACGTAAGTCTTCAGATGTGCTCTTAGAATTAGAGTGAAAAGAAATATGAGCAGACGTCTTGTTTAAACCCCAGTTTAACATATGGTGAAATGACTTGCCCAAGACCACAGAGCCAAAATGACACCCACAGGAGAAAATTATTATTATATGTTATGGATAAGCAGGTCTAGAAAGAGTCCACTGCTTTATCCAGCCCTCGGTAAATATCTCTGGTTCACAGAAGCTTGCAACATTTCCTCGTAATTCCCCTTATTAATAGGTTTTAAAAGTAAATGTAATATAAATAAACATACCAGCAAGCAAAAAGTAGCATGTATTTTGGAATATCTTGACAATCCTACTCAGTAATAACTACTTTTAATGTTTTGATGTATATACTTCATTCTTTCAAACTTAGGCATAGAAGACATATGACTTTTTGTAACACTTTGTCTTGAATCTGGGAAAAAGTCATAGTCATGAGACTTCTTCACTTCATTCAACAAAGAGATTTAAGGTTTTGTGCTGGTTGTACACGCAGACACTGCGTTGTTTAAGACACAGTCATCTCTCTCGTGTATGTGAACATGAAGCTTTTATTTGGGTCCTGATTCTTTCACAGGAAACCCAGGTCTCTGGATTCAGAGATAGTAGCTTTCAATCACAAATCTTGTCCTGTAGATATCTAGTGTTCTACTGCAATGAGGCAATACCTTCTGACACCATAGGGCACAATCTTCTGCAAGACAGCCCTCACTTTGGGCACAAGCTGTGAGCTGGGGTACTCAGGCCTTCCACACTTATGAACAACTGTCTTCAAATCTGAAGGTTCTCACTGGCCCCTCAGGTTTGATAACGTACCAAATGACTCACAGTGGGAAAAGGCTATTTTTATGATTACATTTTTGTAAGTCTTGTAATTTTATATAGCAAAAGGATAAAAATCAGAAACAGCCACAAGAAGACACGCACAAGGAAATGTCCGGGAGGGTTCCAAATGCAAAGCTTAAGTGCGCTTAGGGATGTGTCACCCTCCTAGCACATCAGTGTGTGACAATATGGAGAATAATGCCAGACAAGCATCCCCAAGCTTTAATGTCCAGAATTTTTATTGATGTTTCATAAAGTAGGCATGTGTCTCAATCTCCAATTCTCATCCCTATAGCACAGGCTGCCATCAAAGCCCCAACCCTCTAATCACACAACTGGTGTTTCTGGCTTGACCATCCCCATCCTGAGTCATCTCATTGTTATAAATTCAGGTGCAGTTCAAGGGTCCACCATAAATAACAGAAGCTCCTATCCCTTGGGACATTCCAAGGGTGTAAAGGTAAGCTCCCAGAGCTAGGGACAAAGATCAGACAAATTCCCTTATTAGAACCTGCAAAAGTCTCATTTCTCATTCCTTCTTGGTAGCATGGTACA